ACACACAAGAAGGCAGTGTGAAGTTAGTTTCCTGCAATGCTTGATTCGTGTGTGAGTCTGTCATTAGACCATCCCTGCCTAGTGAATGCCCTTATCTTTCAAACTCAGTGCCTCCAGTTTGTAACACATGTTCTCTGCCAACAATCTCTCCTGAAAACACACTTTTGATGCCTTTGTGATGGCCTAGTTTAATGCGATTTGGAGCATAATATGACCATGTTTTGAATCAACATAAGGGCATTCTGTGTTCAAAACAATTTCCGTCACAAAAGTGAAAAACCCAGGTAAAATATCACACAGGTACTGGCTAACGATGGGCATTTTCTTGCAAAACATCATAGCAGAATTGCCATAGATTTAACACCTAATATAGCAACTGCAGGAGTCAGACTTATTATTCCATATCTTACCTGTCAGCAGTGAAGCTGTGCTGGAGAAGAGATGTTATTAAAGTATTGTAGACTACAATTGTGGGTTTGTATGTAGAATTGCATGTGGACAATGTGCCTGTCTGGCAAATTGCAATACAATGCTGCAATGTAATGTTGAGAGGTATTGTGTTGGAGTTAGTCATGCACTTCTAATCCAGACTAATTTACTACATCAGGTATTTTTAAGTGTTGCTACAACATAGAGGTACACTATTAGGCTTTTCTAATCAAAACTGAACTACTAAAACAATTAAAGAGTTCCTACTTTTTAAATAAAGGTACAACAGCTGTTATAATTTTGAGATCGCGTCACACATACAGCAAGGAAACCGCTCATACTTGTCCCGCCCCCCGCCACGGATGCTGAACGCTGATTCGCTGTTCCAACTGCCAATTTATTGAAAGCGTCAGTTGACGGTTACGTCAAGTTGGCCACAACGAGAGCAGTTGCACGGTGTTACACGTCAAAATAAAAGCACGATGTTTTAAAACCTAACATATGAAATAATTCCTACATGTTTCTGGATTTCCTTTAATCAAAAATGACCATTTAAGGTGATATTCACATATAACACGAAACTACAGGTGAAAAAAATCGCTTTATTTTGTATTACGTTACGTGGCATTTTAAAGAGGGATTTGTTTTGAAAAGCGTGGCCGGAAGCTCCTGAAACTAAACCTAGCTAGCTCGACCACTACCAGGCGTTTGTGTATTTTGAGGAAGACTATTGATGATGTTGCTGCGAAAATAGAGCGAAAGGAAAAGTTATTGAACAGTACAGTGTGGAGGACACCTGCCTGTCGCCTCTGTAACAGGTAACGTTAATAAACACACTGTCAGCGTTATGTGACCGCTGTAACTACAGCTACAGTCTGCTAGGCAACCAGCTAACCAGCTCCTCTGCTGATAGTGATAGTGAAATACATTTTTATGAATCATTATATGTCACTCATTCTTCCTTTGACTACTGCGTGCGCCTCAGTGTTTATGAATGTAATTATAAGTGACATTTATGTGGCATTTATTCCCTAAGAAGGGCCACTTCCTGTTTATTTGACAGGTTTTTTTAGTGGCGTCACTGCCTCATTTGCTCATGTGTGTGTTAAATATCGGACTGAAGTCTTTCATTGGCTAATTAATTGAATCAAACGGAGAGAAAAGAGGCTGAATGGTTGTATTCAAGCTGTGTTTGTAGTCAATCTAATTTATTTAGATGTGCTTCAATTTCATGCAGTCTACGGGATCAGTGCTTGTGATCTTAACTGCCTCAATTCAGAAAGTAAATAAGAAAATTATAGTTGTGTTAGGAGGGGGGATTACATTACAGGCCTGCCAAACTGCGGGTTTATGTGTGTAAGGTTAGCTATTTGCATTCCTGCAGTCATGATCTGATGTGTTAACTGTGTCACACCAAGCTTGGGTCGTGTTATATCAAATAAAATCGATAAATGCCTCAAGTGGACCCGACTTTGACATTAGTTGGCTTTGTTTTTTCCACCGTAAGAGCTGTGATGATGTTGCTACACGGAGGTTGTTTTTTATCCCCCCCTGCTTCAGTGTCCTTAAGGACATTTTACTTATTCATTTCTGCCAGTTTCTAGCTGCTGTTTTGTCGCTGAGCTCTCACCTCAGAGGATGTGTGTAGGAGTAAAAAGCTTCTGTTTTTAGTCCTCCATAACCTCGTTTTTGCAACAGGATATTCATGTGGAACATATAATGTGAAAAAAGGGGGTCAAACAACGAATCAATTCATTAGACAGCTTAAAAAAAACGGGGTATTATCTCGAGGCTGGCAAATTGCACAAAGGCTGTATCAGAAACAGAAATACTTTATTGATGCCTGGAGAGAAATGGTTGTGTTAGGAGAGTGGCAGAGGAAGTTTACACACCGGTGTTAAACCACAGAAACTCACTAATCTGCACACAGCGCTGTTAAAAAGGAAGATAACAACCCTTCACACACACAATCCTCCTCAGTTCCTCCTCTTCTTCAGACAGACTGTGTGGCAGTAAAGGACGTAGACACGACGCACACTAACACTCAGCTCGTACGTCTGTAGTAGTAGATGTTGTAGTTTTCATGCTGCCTGCTGGTTTAGCATCAAGTAACCACGAGATGTTTCACTTCCTGCAAAGACGACCCAAAAATATTGTTGGCTAAAGGTTCAGTGTGGAGTTTACTGTTGTATGTTTTCATTGAGGTGTAATCTCCTGAAAATAGGTTTCTCCTGCTTGAAACGGGAGAGTGAGGCGAGGGCGTTGCAGTCAGCAACTACACCGCTAGATGCCAGTACGTCCTGCACACTGCACCTTTGAGGCAATCACTTTGTCTCTGTGTGTTTGGGCATGTGTTGAGTGTTTGTTGCTGTCCAGTCAGGCATTAGTTCTCAGTTCCTTTTTCTTTGTGTTTTTTCTCAGCTTTCCCTGAAAGTCTGACTGGTGGTTTGGTCTCTTGCCAAGTGGTTTTCAGCCGACATGCAGAGCTGTGACAGTTTAGAGATGTGAAATTGAAACTGCGCTGTCCGCAGCTCGGGTTGGCCCTTTGTGGGTGCAGCTGATTCAGATCTTTATAGCAGCGCTCGTCTGCGGGTTGCTCGGCCGCTCCAACACTTTGGTCCAGACTGAAATATCTCAGCAACTAACGGATTCAAATTTAATGCAGACAACTTCTAACTTATCACTTAATACCGACAAAACCTGGACGTGCTTCGTCACTCTGCATGCTGACATTAGCAGCGATCGTTTCTCCTTCGTATCTTCTCAGGATGTTGCTGAAGATACTGCTGGGCTTCCTGTGCGGCGTCGCAGCTTCGGCCGCGGAAAACGACACGGCTCAGCAAGCTCCTCCGCCGCTGCTGCTGGTGTCGTTCGACGGTTTCCGAGCGGACTACCTGCAAAGGTTCCCCATGCCGAACCTGAAGCTCCTGTACAGCCAGGGGGTCCTGGTGGAGCAGCTCACCAACGTCTTCATCACCAAGACGTTTCCCAACCACTACAGCCTGGTGAGCCTGCTGCTCGTGCTTTTAGCTCCCTGCTGAATTGTAACAATCATAATAATTCAGATTCTTCCCTCTTCAGGTGACGGGGCTGTACGCTGAGTCTCACGGTATCCTGGCCAGTAACATGTACGACCCTGTCAGCCACAAGCACTTCCACATCGGCAACGACACCGACCCGATGTGGTGGAATGAGGCGCAGCCCCTCTGGGTCACAGCGCTGGACTCCGGCTACAAGACGGCGGCCATGATGTGGCCCGGCTCCGAAGTGACCTTCCGAAACCGCACAGCTACACACTTCCTTCCCTACAACTCCAGAGTGACGTTCCCGGAACGACTGGGGAACGTGACAAACTGGATGCTGGGAGACGGAAAGGTAGAAAAAGTTACTTTAGTAAGCTGACTCTTAAGTTATCTCACCTTTTCTGTCTTTCAAGGTTTCCATTTCGCTCTATCTCTGTTCTAAAACCATGTTAACGCCATAAAGTAGTAAAATTAAAACATATCTTGAAGGCTGAGTTGCTATTGTCTGAAGTTCTGTGTCATATTCCCCCAGGAGCAAGGAGCAATGTTTGCAGCTCTCTACTGGGAGGAGCCAGACCGGTCAGGTCACATGTTTGGCCCTGACAACACCACTGCCATGAGCAAAGCGCTGAAGGAGGTACAGTTATTTATTTAAGCTTAAAATGTCAGAAAAGCTCACTGACAGACACATTCTGCTCCGAAGAAAAGCTCTGTAATATATATTTGTTGGAAGAGGGGATGTTAGGATCCCATCTCAAAGTATCAGTATCAGTCGATCGAGGCGTTTATCGTCTACACTGAGTTTTATTGTTGTTTGTTTTGCCTCAGTTATCACAATGCAATGAGCAATAACAGTCATTTATTAATGTAATCCGCGCAAAAGATGTCCAGATAACGAAAATAAACACTCAACAGTTCATTCAGTCCCAGGCTGCACCAAAGAGACACTGGAGGAGAAACTCCCTTGAGACAGCGATGAGGCTGAAGAGATTACACAGAGAGTTTATTATTTTATTGTCTACTTTATTGTTTTGTAGAAAATAAAAATCATTAAGCAACAGCTTAGACACAATCTAATGCAGAGCTATTCTAATATCAAGCAAAGTGTGAACCTGTACGAGTGGAAAATAGAAGTATTGGATTAGGACTTTATATTAAATGACTCAAACTGGGAGCGGGGGCGAAAAAACTCCCCTAGTGGGAAGCATTTCTTTCCATTAGTCAAACCAGAGGTTAGGTTTACACCAGTGAGTGAAATCTATGGTGAAGCATCATGATTGTTTCTATGGCCGTTTCCTGCAGTTAAATAAAGCCTGTGCAATGATTTACAACAGTGGTTTAACTGTTTGTCTGAGCTGTATTGTTGCAAAATGTCTTCAATGTCAATTCAATTCAATTCAAGTTCAAATGACTCATTAGATAATCTGTCGTGCGATGTGTTGGATGTTGACCTCTATCAATGCTTCCCTCCCCGTCTCCATATTTTATGTGAATTAGAAAAGTTGGATGGAAGCAGCTGGGTTTGGTAACATTTCTCTCTTGGCATAATGATAAAGATACAATAAATATGTAAATTCAGTGTAAAAAAAAATACCCTAAAATTGGCATGATCCAATGGCTCAGCACACTTGAGGGTTAATTCGATTTGTACAGAACTCCTTTCAACCCAGATTTGCTGGATGGAAGGAGTTATTGATGGCTGTGTCTCTTTGCATGCGATCAGGTTGACGACAACATCGGCCTGCTGATTTCAGAGCTGAAGCGGACCGGCCTCTGGGGTCGCATCAACGTCCTGGTGACCAGTGACCACGGCATGGCTCAGTGCTCGGCCGAGCGCCTCATACGGCTGGACGACTGCCTCCACCCCGACAACTACACACTGGTGGACCTCACACCCGTCGCCGCCCTCATCCCAAAAAATGGTAACCAAGTTCAAATCAGCTAACACGGGAGCCTGAATACAAACCACACAAAAAATATGTGACAGGTTTCTTTTTTATTTATCTAATCGTACTTTTGTGTGTGCTTTGCAGACCCAGAGGCCGTGTTTGCTCTGCTGAAACAGTGTAACACCCATATGACAGCGTATTTGAAAAAGGCCATCCCTGATAGGCTGCACTACAAGAACAACGAACGCATCCAGCAGATAATACTGATTGCTGACGAGGGTTGGACCATAGTGCAGCGGGGGAACAAACTGCCAAGACGTATTTCTCTTAATTGTTTTCTCAGTACTGTGATTAACATCTGGCCAACTGCGAGCTCATCTGTTATCTTTTGTTTGTTAGTCTTCTGTTTTACCCACTTATATTTTCTAATAATACTGAAGTAAATTATTATTCTTTATGTATATTATGTCCATTTAGTTTCACAACAACTCATCCAAGATATACTAATAGGCTACTTTTACATTCTTTTTGAAAATATTTTGGGTTTTAAAGGAGAGATATTTTGGGGACATTTTAGAAAAAATAATTAAGATGATCGTGGAGATGATTCACAATGCATTTTTCTAGATTTTTAATTTAGATTTAGATAGTTTCACTCTATCTCTTTGTGGTAAACTAGTCTTATTGGATCTGGTATCACTATCAAATTGAGGCACTAAAATGGACATTAAAAGTCTTACAGAACTACATAGATTCACATTTATAAGCAAATACTAACAGTACGCCCACCCACCAGTTCTCACTCTTCTTCCCTCCCTCAGTGGGCGATCACGGCTACGACAACTCCTTATCCAGTATGCACCCCTTCCTCGCAGCGACGGGTCCCAGCTTCCGTAAGAATTATCAAATCAGCAGTTTGCAGAGCGTGGACATTTACCCGCTCATGTGCCACCTGCTGTCGGTGCCCCCCCAGCCAAACAACGGCACCCTGAACCAGGCTCGGTGCCTGCTGACTGCTGAGACCTGCTGGAACGTCCCTCTGATGATCGGCCTGGTGGTGGGCGTCCTACTGGTACTCAGTACAATCACAGGTAAGTCGGAATGATAGCAATGGCATATTAATATGTTATGTCTATGCATCATACGCTCCAGGGGTCGCGTGTAGGTATAGAAAAAGGGAACCCAGGATAGACCCCTGGGGGACTCCACAAAAGAGAAGAGTGAGTGGATGAGGCGTCTTCACTCTGTGCCGTACTGTACGTCACAGATCAGTGAACTAACCGGGCCTGTTTCTTCAGTTTTGTTTAGATTGCTTAGCAACCGCCGCCCGTCAGGCACCCGGCCCTTCCAGAGGCTGCAGGTCGACGATGACGACGACGACGACCCCCTGTTGGAGTAAACCAGTCAGAGCCGGGCACCACACACAGTCTGTGTCACCTGTTCGTGCTCCAATAGATACTTTGATGTGTTGCACTTTACTCACTGAGGCCAGCTTTTACTCTGGCATACGTGTGTGTGTGTACATGTGTGTGTACATACATGTACACACACGTAGTAGAAAGAAGCCGTCAGGGCTGCCGACAACCTGCTGTGGAGTTTGTACACTGGTGTAAAAACAGCTGCAGGAAAAAGTGATTACTATAGCTGACTCTGACTCCATAATGTTGATGTTGTAGAAATCCTGTTACAGTAGACTTGAAAATGTGACAAGAAGCCAGTGGTGTTTAGTTTTGAGGAAATATTGATGATAACATTGAGATTAATAATTTTATTGTGGGAGTCTAGTGATTTAAGAGCTTCATTTAATATTTTTCTGGGCGAATCGTCTTTATAAAGCCTGATTTTGTGTGTAATTTTATATTTGTAGGGTTACTTTTTGTCAGCAGAGGGAGCCAGTAGCACATTTAAGACTCATATTGTATTTCACTGACATCCTGTGTTTCACGACGAGGAAAGCTTGAAAGATTTCTGTCTGTACTGTTACTGTTCTGGTGTATTTGTTACACTGATATCTGAGTCATTTCAAAAAGAATTGAATTTAAAATCTGAGATGATATATTTTTACTATTAGATTATAGTCTACTATAATAGTCTATAGTAACTAAAATGCTCCAGTAAAGGGAAATGTTGTTTTGAAGAGGATGATTTCTATGCACTGTACTTACATTATACACACATGTATACATTTATATTAATTATACCAAAGACTATTATTTAGATGTGCAACAGATGCTCCAAAGAGATATTCACCATCTAAAAATGATCTTTGTTTTTAAACTAAAGCAATATATTTGTTATTATTGACACACTTGATCACCTAGAATTTAAAAATAGAAAGATCAAATCGCGGTAATTAGTTGAAACTTATCTTATTATCATATTTATCTGATGGTGTCTAATGCCTCTTATCTTACTATTGACAAATCCCATGTAAAGACCAAAGCCGACAACAAATATATTGTACTATTGTGTGTGTATCTAAAGCCTAATATTTTGTTTCTCTGTGTCAGAGAGCTTCACTGTTAAACATTGTCACCACACCGTTGTTACTTCATTATAATGACTACGAGCACTGTAGTTTATTTTGACTCCATCCACCGTCCTGCTGCTGTAAATACTCAGTAGAGTATTCATCCGCAGCTGAAAGTAGTCCTCTCCAAATGCACTATTTTTTTTAAATTTACTAAAAACTTCAGTGCTCAGCTGTTTTTAATATTTACGTCTCCAGTGGGAACCAGTGGGTTTTGGGGGCCACCAACAGGGTTCGGGATGTCGGAAAGTATTGAAACATAGTTAATTTTGGTCTTTTCATGGGATTTTTTTTGACAGTAACAAAACTATAGTGTACTACCAGCCTCATTCTTTAATGCAGTGCTGCTGGTGCGCTCCTCCAACCATGTATCCAGTGATGTGTACTGTTCATGCATCTATTCATGTGTTAACAAATGAGACTCAACATGACCAACTTACTCCATTTTTATTCTTCTTTCTGGTACTTTTCATGAACACAGTTGCTTCAGGTCACAGCGAGCATATTTGCTTTAATGCATATATGTTTTACCCTTACTTCAGAGGATGAACATTATAGTGTTTTTTCATCTGCACCCACTTCCTATTCTGTGTAATATACTGTAAAACATTCAAGTTTTGTGCCATAAAGCAATCTCAGTATAAAATTTAGGCCAGTGGTATGGTGTGAAATGCAGTGTAGAAGCTACCAGTCTCAAGAAAATGGTCTCATTTTTATGGATTATCATATTTATGTGTGTTTTATGAGGTTTAAATGCTTCACATAAGCTGTATCTTTGCACTCTATTTGTGTTTGATCCTTAAAGTTACCGACTTTTGTGGGGGTTTTTTGTGGAAAAAATTCTTTTGGAACTATGCAAATCCTGACTGGGCTGTTGAGAGATTCCTGTGGTTCAATGTCATTTTCAAAATGAATAAAGAGGATAGAAAATCTGATGTTTTGTGTTGTGATTCAAAGCAATGTAAAAACCACTCACATGAAGTGTCAGTAAATGGAAAGGAAAAGCGACACACATTTGGAAAAATTAATTTATATTCCTTTATATTTTTTTTTTCTCCATCGCAGTCACAACATTACAATGTAATAAAATGGTAAATATATAAAATCAAACTCAATACTGACGCATATACATTTCTGTATCGTGTTCAAAACCAAATGAACTGTACATGTTTTCATTTATATCTGTTTTACATCATTTAAAATCTGTCATAATTTCTATGTAGTCATCTGTATTATTGTAAATCTTTGTCTCTTCACAGATAAATAGACTTTATTTTCAGGAGGTATTGTAACAAAAATAACACATTTCCTAACGCTGGCCACCTGGAGCCATTGAAAATATCATTCCACTCTTCCCCAGAATGCTTTTACACTATCGTAGACACAGAATACACAGACAAAGAAGAGATACACAATGTGTCGTCTCGTTTTCTCTCCCGTTTTGTTTGTGGTTGGTCAGAAACATTCGGTGTGAATTTAGGAATCCTCCCGCAAAGACCAGAGGATTCCTGAATGGTGTTTTTATGAGCTGACGCAGGAGCGGTTTGAACACGGTTGATGACAGCAGCCATCATTTCTACAGTGAAGTTCGGGAGACGTTAGCCAGACAGCCCCTGCTGGACATTCCCCCCCCCCCTTACGTTTGTTTTGTGTACTTATGTGTTGAACTGTTTATTGGTATGTAGCTGCACACTGCAAATAGGACCATCTCGTCAAGCTATTTAATCAACTCAAGAGTAGAAAAGAATGATGACTTTTAAATTTCTTATTTTCCTACAAGGGTTGGTGATAAGAAATTATATTTTCTCACTTATCTAGTGATATAAAGCCAAGTAGGTCATCTGTGGTGGTCACAGCGTAAAAAACCACGTTTTAAAATTAAATCTAACGCTACAGCCAGGAGACGCTTAGCTTAGCATTAAGACTGAAAACGGGGTGAAACAGCTAGCCTGTATCTTAAGTTTTTGTACAGATTTATACAATAAACAAGGTGTAACATGTTAATTAGTGAGCTTTAGAGAGGCTGGTAAGCGGTTTTTGTTTTAGCTTTGGGCGGAGCCAGGCTAGGCCCCCTTTTATGCAAAGCTAAGCTACTGGTTTTTTTGGAATTTGGGTAAACGAATAAAAAGTTTGTCTGACTTTTTAGTTTTTTTTTAGTTCAGTATTATTGGAAATACACTGATTAACTTCTTTGCCGAGAGTTAACGAGAAGATGGACACCACTCTCATGTCTGTAGGGCTAAATATGAAGCTTGAGCCAGGAGACAGCTAGCTTAGCTTAGCATAATTAAAGGTGACAAGCACCTCTAAATGTCTCAAATTAACACTACTTTTTTCTTCCCATGGTGGAATTTTTGCAAACACTATATTATATGTACTATACTATACGATACTATACTGTGCATACATAAGCAGTGATTGGAAACAGACAACTTTTTAAGCAAGCTAGCGTGCTATTTCCCCCTGCTTCCACTGCTAAGCTAACCAGCTGTTGGCTCCAGCTTCATATTTAGTGTACAAATATGAGAGTATCTCATCCCATTAGCAATATTAACTCAATTTACATACTCCAATACTTCAAAAAAATTCAATAATCACGGTTTGCAGTGATGGTCTTTCTTTACAGAACATTTTTTGTGTTTATCAGGAATGTGAGAGACAAATATTACTTGTCTCGTCGTTCATTTCTTGTCCTAATCTCCCCTTTTCCAGAGAAACAGAACCAGATTTTGGTTGTGGCTGTCTGGCAAATCACCTCCAAACACTTCATCCTGCCTACAGATCTAATATCAGTGTGCTTATACTCAAGACAACACGATGGCACAGACTCCTACGAAAAACACAGTTTCCAGTTAAGCCGTATTTGTCTTCTCTCGTCTTACATTCTGGATATTTATAAAGAACATTTACTATCAGTACATTTGAAAGAGCCATCTAAGCAAACTCATCGAAACATAGACCCAACTGAGGAGGATTACCAGAAAAAGGTATTTACAATCAAAAGGCCAACCACGAGAAAATAAAAGGTACTTTTTGCACATTGAAATCTCTAGAGCTACTTTTTTTTTCCAAGCTGAAGAACACAGTAGAAAAGCATGACCCCGACAAAATAAAAGCTCATGGTACATCTTATAGATACATCCACATTAAGGTTTAGTTTGACCCTGCCCTGTGCTTATAGTATCCACACCTGAGTCAGACCATTGAAATCCTTCCGACTCGTTTTTTTTTTTCATAATAGAATTTGAGCCATTTGTACCAAAACAGCCACACCTCTTTTCATTTGTAAAAGGAGAGGATTTCAGTTGTCATTGGACTCAGATCTGGTAGAAACTGGTCTGAGATCAGAAACAGCTTAGCGTCTGGCCTCGATGTCTACAAAACCATGATGAGTAATGATAATTTCACAGCTCTGGACCAAGCAAGTAAAACTTTGGCTAAAAAAAGCATATGAAGCATTACTGACACATACGGTAGTTTGCACTCGCACATACACACATGCTCACACACATGCTCACACACATACACACACACACAGCCTAACCACAGGCCTCATATGCTTTGCAGACCCTGATAGTGGAACGTTTTTATCCAAAGAACACAAAATAACTTCCTGCTTGTACACATTCCTGTCGGGAGGTTGCGTCCATCCTGGTTGCTCTCAATGTAAAGGTACATTACGCAGTTTTTTTCCTCTCCCCTCCCGACCCATTTTAACCCATCAACACACAAACTTGATCGAGAAAAATGTCCACAGAAATGATGCAAGATTACCAAATTATCATAAGCAGATAAAACATGTAAACCAATGGCATATCACATTTTCATTTTTGCACATTAATGCTTTCTTTGCAAACTAAGACATAAAAAAGAGGAAAAAATGAAAATAAGAAAAAGCAAAACATGAGAACAGTGATGTGGTATTTTTTTTGTAAAGGTTATCCAAGCCCAGAACCTTTCTGTGTGTAACCTTGCATAGCTGTGGATGTGTAGCCATACAATAACACTGACTGGATTTCACTATCTCGCAGGGTGGGCCTGGCTAAGGCTCTGGGTTTTTGGGTGAAGGAATAAAGTTTTCGTTTGCAGCGTGCAGACTCAGCTGTAAGGTTGACTACCAGGTGATATGAAGGAGACGGTGAGACGGTATGATACCTGCAGTTTGATTATGAGGCTACAGCCAAGTCTGAATGCTGCACACGAACACTTCCGTATAAAGAAGGAACTGTATTTTTTTGGTTGTGTCAGACCTGATTTGGCTGTGTTGAACCTGATTTGTGATTGGCTGGAGTTCTGGGTGCAAAAGGGGCCGTGAGTTTGGGTGAAAAGGTCAGAGGTCAGTGCTAGGGAAAAGCTAGCGGGACAGCTTCTCTGGAGCTCAACATAAATCTCGCTTTAACAACCCAGAAGCACATACGAAGCTGTGACTCTTCAAACCTTTAAGCCTCTGTAGTAACCACTTATTTTCCTAGGAGCACATGTGCCCTCGAATCTAGAACATTCATGCAAGAAATTCACGAGCACGATCTGTGAAACTAACAGAAAATGTCTGACTTGTGTTCTCTAAATGTCACATATTCAGTTTTTTTAGGACAACGTGCTAACACAGTGTGCTGTTTTCCTTTGATTTCTGTGCTCTGACACACTGAGCCCATGCTATAAGTACAGCGTAAGTCCAGATCAGAGTGTACCAAAAAATTTGCACCACCCTCCCTAAGGTTCATCTTTTTGCACATCACCACGACTCAGGTATCTTAAAAAAAATTTCCACCTCCGCTTCTGTCAAGCGGATAAGGCATTGTAGCTTTTTACGTGTCACTCAGTTTCACGGAGACAGAAGGTGTTGCTATTTTTATGTACACTCTCTACATGAGGAAACCCAGATTGATTGAATTAAACCATTCAATCAATCTGAATGTGAAACACTCTAAACATATTTGGCTAAATTCTTCATAGCACTGTAACCACAACTATACAAAAACCATCCAGCTTTACTCAATAGCACCATATGAATATTGTTCCCAAATTATAAAGGGGTAAGGGATTATTGGACATTAGTGTGTGAGTGTGTGTGTATGTGTGTGTTCAAGCGGTGAGGTAGGGATGCATCCCATGTTGTTACACTAACTTCTCACTGTGTATCTGCATGTGTGTACTAACTAGCATATCGCCCTGCTGTGGAGGAAAACCCTGTCTGTCTGTCTGTGTGTGTGTGTGTGTGTGTGTGCATGTACTGTGTGTGTTGTGAGCACTAAGCACATCTCCTTGCGTCGGAGACTTGCATAGCTTCTGCAGGACAGGAAGAGCAGTTGTCCGTTTGGACGGAGCCTTTGGCACAGCCTTGGCCGATAACTGAAGGCAGTACTCAAGTTGCACCATAGAATTCAAAGAGACAATCTGCCCTTATTGCACCATAAGTACATGTGTGTTTCATATTTGCACCATATGAAGTGGGATTAGCAGCCAATTGACTCTGTAGCTTGAGTGTGTTGCACCATATGAACACCGATGCCGCTGCTTCTGCTGCGCGTTTGCACCTATTGAATCTAGTTTGCAGCAAATTAAATGATTAGACTTTTTTTTTTATCGGCTAGCACCACAGAAAAGTAATGTAAGCTCACTATTCATTCACACTGTTCAGACTTAAAGGGATACGTTAACATATTTGGTGTTAGTCTCCTTTTTTGTGCTTATTTTCATTAAAAGATCATCTGTGGATCATCATCATTATAATTGATTAATCATTTAGTTTATGACAGTGGTTTCCAACCAGGGGGTAGGGACCCTGCTAAGGGTCGCAAGATGATTACAATGTTTTCTTTTTTCTTTTGTGAATTACTAAATACATTAACCTCTTTAGGCCTCTGAAAATTATTCAGATTAAAAAATAATAATTACTAATTATACACATTAAAGTCTATTTCCAGGTATTATGGAGGAGTACTAACGCATTTAGTAAGCCTTTAGTGGCTGCACGAATTCAGATAAATTGCCTCAAGTGAGTCAGCGTTGGTAGCGTTAAAAAGAAGTGAGCAGACCTCTGTAACTCGCTCCTCGTCTCTGCTTGAGGCTAGTGGCTCAAGGCTTCATTAGCTGCTATTAGCCTAACACACTCAAATCTGTTGGCGACCAGGTTTTAACAAAGAAGAACACTTTGTGGATTAAAATAAAATGGTTCGGATTTTTATCTTGTGAGTCTGACAATGTCCCAAAAGATTGGGAACCACTGGTTTAAAACAGTCCAAAATCCAAAAGTATTAAGTTTATATTGAAGACATGGGCAAGTTTACTTGATTACTAACTTAATAAATGATCACAGTTGCTGTAAATTAACTTTTGCAATCAATACTAATAATCAAGTTATTGATTCAGCACTAAAATATGAAAACATGTCAATTTTAGTCAATGAAAACAAAAAATGGAGCTTCAAGCTTCCTTTCAATCTAAATTTCAGTGGCTGTCATTAAAAGACAAAATCTTCTACAAATTGACACCTGGACAAGAAAATAAGAGGCTAAAATTTGCCCCAAAAATGTTAAAGTACCCCTTTTATCTCTCTTTATGTGCTATTTATCTTCACCTGCTTGATCCTCTCGGCCAGCAGCAATAATAAGAAGCGTGTTCGTGTTCATATTTTTTAACTGCACCATCTGAAATGGCTCATGGTTGGGTTTCACTTGCTCTACCGCTGACATGGGACTGGAGAAAAGGTGTGGAGCGTTGGATGGTGAAAACACTTTCACCACCTTCCAAACCTGTGCTTTTACTCGCCGCCACGCGGTGTTAAAGCAGCCCCCCTGACGGGTGTGTGATTTCAGGACCAGCGTTCCTGTCGACGGGCTGATGACTGATATATCGGCTCATTTGTTGTCGCCTGCCAATGTAACAGCTTGGATTACAGGGATAAACAAACAAAAAAAATAAATAATGAGCCATACATCACAGCTCAGCCGTGGGTGGATTTGGAGGAGTTGATATTGGGCGCTTTTCAGGAGAAGACAAGTCATCAGAAGGGTTGTGACGATTGAAGTCCAAAATTGTTTTACATCAACTTCAGTGGCAGCACCCTGTTAGCGTGGGACCGACATGATTAAGACATCACACACTGGTTGGTGCTGGTAGACACTGATCAGAAATAATTAGTCTGCTCTTTCTGTCGACAATTTTGAGACGATTACTCATTTTTTTTCATCGTCTAGGAACGTAAACCGACAAAACCGAGCATTTGCAACTGGATGGGATAACTAAAGACCACTCAAAGCATAACAGGAATGATGGAGAACAACTGAACGACTCCCAGATGGCGTACATGCTCACAAAACAGCGTGATAAGCATGTACTGCCTTAGTCATTAGTAATACTGGAAACATCAACAGGCACTAGGACTTGTACCTGATCATGGTGCCACTTCATTTTGGATTCTTCTCTGTTTGGTCTGCTTTTAATTGGTGTATTTTTATATATTTAATGGCTTGGTTTTATACTTCAGGTTTCAGAAACACATGGGGGATTGGCACATTGACTAGTGTACACGTTTAGCAATAAGAACTGTAACATTAAAACCATCTATCTGTCCTCAGTAGATCTTTAGCTCTGAATCCATGCTAACACATTAGCATAAAAGGTGTTGAGTGAGAGAAAGGGACAGCCAGGCCTCTTGGCAATCTAAAAATATTATTTTTTATATATATATATGTATCAACTAATATCTCAGCTAATATTGTATAGCCTATGTAGCTACTTTGGATTTTAAAACAATTTCAGGCGGGAAAGCTTTAATTCTTCCTCTCCAGTCATTTTGGCATGATCAAGTTTTTTCTTATACAGTTTCACATTGCCAGCCAAAGTTTTTGGGTCTTACTTTGAGCTGCTACAAATTCTCATATTCTCACTTTTAGAGCTAATGTTGCTAACTCTCGCTTAACATTGTGTATGCTCAAGTGTTCGCATTCTTATAGGACGATATGGACATTTTGGGAAACACGGTTACATGAGTTCGATGAGAAGACTGATAGCACTCTTTAGCACTCTCTGTTAAGTATGAAGCTACAGCCAGGAGACCATTAGGCTAGATTAGCATTAAGACTGTTGAGCTTTAGAGATGTTGGTAGGGAGATATCTTTTTCCCCCAGCTTTCAGTTTTTGTAGTGTAGAGAGATGAGAGGGGTATTAATCTTCTCATCTAACTATTGTCAGATTATTCCTTTACGTAGCGCAAACTTGAGCAGCATTTTGAATTTGTTTGAGCGTGCATTAGATGCCAATAGCCTCTCCGTCTCCATCTTTCCCATCATGCTCTGCTACTCTCCTCAGTAACCTTGTCAACCAACCCCAAAAACCGATGCGCCCTACTGCTTTGTCTCCAGTCGACGACAACGTAACGGTACATAAAAAACATCCCTTCTGTACATAAAAAATATATACACTACCTTTGACTAGACTAACGACAACATGTTCACAACTCCTTTTATTGAAAGTGACATTTGTTCTTTCTTTGTGTCACGTCTTTTTATTCTACTGAAACCCGTGAAAGTGTGAGTGACGCAACGTAAACGGCATGCGGTGGTCAAAAAACTCCAGTGTGAAACTCTGGCGCTCATTTTTGTATTTTTTCGTATTTTTTCCACTTCACAGCGGAGCGCGGACGTGTGAAATTAAATCAATGAGAACAGATGAAGAGTGATCGGAGGAGTTTGAAATAGAGAGACAGAAGGGTAAAGAGAGAGAGAGAGAGAG